GTAGCCGGGTTTGAGGGCTTTACCAAAGCTTTGGCTTTGGCGACCGTGGCCATGTTCTTCTCCAAGCGGCTCCTGGCGTCCGTCATGAGGTAATGGATGCGCTTGTCCGCCGTGACCTTGTCCATGAAGGCCTTGACCAACTCCCCGTTCGGGTTCATCTCCTGTGGGAGTGCAGCTTGAAGTTCCTTGAGAGCTCGCTGCACCATGGTCGGGTTCTCGCAGGCTGTGGTGTTCGCCGGAGCTCCTGGCTTTGGAGTGTAGTCCAGCCGCAGGTTGCACACAGCGCAGTGGTGCCAAGTCCCCCATTTGTTGGGCTGAGCCTTCATGTTCGGCACGCGCACGTTGAAGCACGGCCAAACGGTCGGCGACGACCTTGGATCCCGGGGATCTGCTTCCACTCTCCTCTCCTCGTCCAATTCCACGGGCGTGGTCTTCTTCGGAGCCATGTAGGTGAGAGGATCGGGACCGGAGCGAATTGGAGACGGTCGTAGGCAGATTGCCCATGAGCAAGAGTCTCCGGCGCCAAACATGTTCAAACCATTGACGATGTCCACTCTTCGAACTCGAACGAGACTCCGTGAGGAGGGGTGCACATTCCAAGACCATGTCGAGGGTGAATGCTGAAAGTGTGGCCGATTCAAACTGCATGACATGTACTCTTGGGTGACCTTGATGACATGTTTTGCCGTCACTCAAAAACTGAACCACGTCCAACATGAAGTGACCCTTGTGGTTGGTGACCAGGTGAAAAGGGGTTGCATCCGGGCTAGTGGCACAAACCGTGTAGCCATCTTGAAAATCAATCACCAAACCATTGCCCCGGATGAAGTCCATCCCAACCAACACGGGTACGTGGTCAAAATCTGCTCGATGTGCAGCTTGGGGGTCAGGTAGTACAAAGGCCTCAAAGGTTCTTGATGTAATACTTGAGGAGATTTTGACCAAGTACAAAGCCTGTCCCCAATCTCCTGACCCGAAGCGGAATTTGGGTCTCCTTTTGGCATCGATGGCGATTGATGCCTGGTTGTCTTGGGTGATCACTGCTTGGATCAGGTTGCGGATGCTGGTCTCAGGACCGGCACTGCAAGCTGCACCGCAATCGAGCATTCCAAGGCCTGTGGTGTCTTTCTCCACTCGGCCAAGTTCAAGGTCAGGTTGGTGACCCTGTTCTTCATCGAATTGAAGGCCGTGGAAGTCATAGTCCTCGGTGTAGTAGGCGTTGACATTGCCCTGGTTCTTGCTGCGAAGTTTTCCATGACCTTTTCCTTTGCCCTTGTAGTTGTAGCCCTTCATGTAGTTGATGAACTCCTCGAAGAAGTTATTCATCTTGCCATTGCCCTTTGCCCTTGTTGAACATGTAGTCCGTGTAGATCTCGGTGGTCGCCGTATCATTAAAAAATTTCCCTTTTCCTTTTCCACCTTTGGCATTGCGGCCAGGACATTCACGGGCCACGTGGCCTTTGTTGCCACAGATGAAGCAGCCATCGGTCTTCGCTGTAGCCGCACCAAAGCCGCGGTCTTTGCGAAGCATCTGGGTGCTCTTGTGAGCTTGTGACCAGGTCCTGTCAGCCGTCATGGCTTCAGGATCAAGAGGTGTTGAATCCTCTGCCAGGGAAACTTCTCCATCAGGTTCTTCTGGCCATTCGGAACTCTCCTCCCAGGCAGTAGCCGCCCAGGATGTTCCATCATCCCACCAATCTTCACATCCCCAGGTGTCCTCTTCCGCCATGTTGAAGAAGTGCGGAGTGCCATGTCCATGTGAAGGCGGTGAAGACGTTGAAGACCGGTGCATGATCTGCTCGTCGAACAAAACCGTGAGGGCCTCCCGGACGCTGTCATAGTCCAGCTGGTTCTTGGTTGAGGCCAAGATGGACCTCCATTCTTCGCTGCTAAGAGCTGCACCGCTGAGAAGCCGCCATCCTCGTAGTTGAGTGAGGATGAAGGAGTCGGTGATCGAAAGACCAGGAGGATCTCCTGCTCAAGCACTGCCAGGTCGTGAACCATCAGGGCGTGAGCCTTTGGAACCACCTTTGGAAGCGGGTGAAGATGGTGAAGGAGACTCAGAGGACGAAGATGATGATCCTGGATCCAAAAGACCAGCATGATCTTGATGTCCGCCATGTAGTGCCATGAGCGCCTCCAAGAACTCCTCATAGTAGAGGCTTTCCCTCACCAGGTAGGCATTGATGTTCTCGTGCCCCTGGCGGCGGTAGTTGAAGTACTGCTGAAGCACCGCAGCTGTGTTAGGAAGCTGCTTGCGCACCAATGGGGATTGCTCCAGCTTGCTCAGGAGGTTTTGCACTCCGTGGGTGCCGGAGAGCTCTTCAAGGCTCCATGACATAGCCAAAAGCCTTGCTGGTCCCGTGAGGCGAGCGACAAGACGAGCTCCAAGTAGGGACCTTTGGTTCTTCTTTGTTCCCATGGTGTACCAAAGAACTTCTCTTTGATACCGGCGCCATCCTCGAGGATTGCCATCCCAGGATGGAATGGTCTCGGCCACCTGCTTGCCCTCCATGGCCAAAATGGCGAAGGCAAGGAAAGAGAATCGCCTCTTGAAGGCAAGATGCAAAATGAAGACCTCGTTGAGGTACAGGAGAAAGTAGCCCTGAACTTGTAATGGATGAAGTCCAGGAAAAAGCTATGGACGTAGTCCCAAAAGGAGAAAGTCCAGGATGTCAAAGTCCTGGGTGTAGTGTCGATCAGCCCTAGCGTTGCCGGCCGACCGGAAAATAAGGATGCCCAATCACCGGCTCTCCCGAAGGCAGCACCACGTTGAGGCGTCCTCCTTCTCTGTCCCAACGTCCCACTCGCGTTGGCCGAGCTTGCCGAGGATCGCTGTCGAAGATGTCCCAAAGAGCCGCTGCAGCCCGTAGGTGTTGCGCTTGTCGGTGAAGGTCCTCACCAGGTTCAGGCTCTGGATCAGGCTCCGGGCGATCCCGAGGTCGCGAAGTCCTTGCGTCCACCTCAGCACGAAGTTTTGTGGGGTGAAGATGTCGTAAGGACGCGAACCTCTAGGCGGGGATCTTGAGCGGTCCCGCTCGGTCCTTCTCGAAGGCGAAGCCACCGCTGAAGGTGAAGTCGGCCTCGAAGAACCGCAGGTTGTAGGCCGCCGCGAAGCCCCAGGCAAAGCTCCGCTGCCAATGCAACGGGATGGGTCCTAAACAACGAGGGGGCGCAACCACGGAAAACCTATGGCGCGCTCCACCAAGGAGCAAAAACCCTCAGGCTACACAAAGTGGCACGCACCTTTTCGCTCGAGGCGAGCCGGGGCTCAAGCGCTGCGGAAAACAGTGCATGTCGCAATGTCGTCGCAGATGTCTTTAGGTCGGATAAGCCTTCACTTCTTTGGGGTCTCTTTTGGTTTTGCTTCGGGCCTCGCTCCTTTAGGGTTTCTTTGGTCTTAGCTTAGGGCTTCACTTCTTGAGGATGTCTTTGGATTTGACTCAGGGCTTCACCTCTTGAGGATCTGTTTTGTTTTGCTTAGGGTTTCGCTCCTTTAGGTTTTCTTTTGCTCTTCTTTAGGATGTCTTTGGGTTGGACTTAGGCCTTCACGTGAGGGCTCCTTTAGGATGTCTTGGGTTTCACTTAGGGCTTCACTTCTTTAGGGTCTCTGGTTGGTTTGGCTTAGGGCTTTGCTGCTTTAGGATGTCTTTCGGTTTCGCTTAGGGCTTCAATTCTTTAGGGTGTCTTTGGGTTTGACTCAAGGCTTCACTTCTTTAGGGTTTGGTTTGGTTTTACTTAGGGCTTCGCTCCTTCAGGGCCAGGGTTTCTTTTGGCTTGGCTTAGGGCCTTGCTTCTTTAGTATGTCTTTGGGTTAGACTTAGGCCTGCACCACCCCCCAAAAAACACTTCTCAGAAACCAGTCCCCAGGAACCACTTCCCAGAAACCAGCCCCCAGCAACCACTTCCCAGAAACCACTGCCCAGAAACCACTTCCAAGAAACCACTTCCCAGAAACCAGCCCCCAGAAACCACTCGCCAGAAACCGCTTCCCGGAAACCACTTCCCAGAAAACACTTCCCAGAAACCACTTCCCAGAAACCAGCCACCAGAAACCACTTCCCAGAAACCAGCCCCCAGAAACCACTCCCCAGAAACCACTTCCCGGAAACCACTTCCCAGAAACCACTTCCCAGAAACCAGCCCCCAGAAACCACTCGCCAGAAACCACTTCCCAGAAACCCAGAAACCACTTCCCAGAAACCACTTCCCAGAAACCACTTCCCAGAAACCAGCCCCCAGAAACCACTCGCCGGAAACCACTCGCCGGAAACCACTCCCCAGAAACCACTTCCCAGAAACCAGCCCCCAGAAACCACTTCCCAGAAACCAGCCCCCGGAGACCATTTCACCCGCGTTCCGAAACGAGCCGAATCCGCGTTCTGAAACGAGCTGAATTCGCGTTCCAAAACGAGGCGTCGGCCGGATTATAGGTACAAATTTGCTACAGCTAGTATTACTGTGATTGGGAAGGTCTCCAGTCGGATTTTGCACAGCTGTTAACTATGATTGGGGCAAGAATTTTAGCAAAAAACAGGATTGCCGGACAGGCGCAATACAAGTTTCACAAGAATGGGCAACATCAAGAAATTGAAGCTCCCACTTTACGTTTTAAGCTATTTTCTACGGCTGTGAGGCATTCAGCTTTTAGTCCTCAGACAGCCGAAATGCCTCACAGCTGGAGACTGCAGGAAGTTGCGCAATGAATCTGTCTGTTTAGTTGTGTTGCTTTAGAGAATCCGTGCCCGGACTGAATGACTAGAGCATGGTCCAGACGCATTTGACTAAAAGGGAGGAACTTCCACTGAGAAGACAACTGGTCAGGCTCATGTTCCTTGTTGTTGCTCAAGTGCTAGCACACTAGTCACACTATCATGCTGCACCTGACAACTTGAAGACTAGATGCAGCAATGCATCCCAAAGATGAGGTGGTATGTTGCTCAAACGAAAGCTTTCTTTGACCTAAAAAACAGCGACCCTCAGCAAGCAGCCAGGACGACCCCATCGATGCGCTGAGTATTCGTGATGACGCTCGGATCGTTTTTGTCCTCTTCCATACCAGCACAAATCTTTGGGAAGGTGGGCTGCAAGAGCAAATTATGACTGCTGGAAGCTGCATGTAACTATATACTATATATCGTCTTTGCAAGTCCTGGGGCACGTTGAAGTCAACCCGGATTAACACCTCCAGAATGGACAATTCTGGGACAAAAGCTTGACAAGGGCCATGTGGCACCCGCTTGTCTCTCACGTCCACTTCCTTCAGCGTCATCTTGCCCATCGCCTTACAGTATATAGAAGGAAGAGGGCCATCGGGCATCCTTTCCTAGTACAATTGCCTTCTCTTTCATCTGTAAACTTCCATTCGGCAAACAAAGCATTCAAGCCAAGCCAAGGACCATCTCAGCCTTGGCCCACGGGCGAGGGCCCTATGGCCTCGCCCCAAAGCCCAGGCAGCGTTGGCTGGAGCCAAATGCAGCGTGTACCAAGGCTGAAAGCTTCTGCGACATGAATTATCCTCGGCTCGGCAGACAAAGGCTGAAAGCTTCTTAACTTCTTCCAAAGTTGCACAAGGTAGACATATGTAGACATACACAGCTTCTCAAAGCCTCGTCTACCCAGGCCATCTGAACATCAGACTGCTCAATCAAAATAAGGGCATTCTTCTTGGGACCCTGCGACATTCTCAACTTTGGGACGGCAAATAGGAAGCTATGCAGACGGAAGTGCACTTGCAACCGAACATGGAAAGCGATCCCAAGCCTGCTCGCCCAGTTTGGAGCCAATCATGTATTTCTTTTCGAACAGTTGCTGTCGTTCCACAAACTTGCGGGCATTGCGGAGCTCCTACACTGAATGCCAAACGCATCAACGAAGCTGCCAGTCTGATGCTGTTTGCAGCAATTTGAAGTGAGAAATTGCAACAAACAAAATGTGCGGGCAAAGCGTCTAAGAACTTACTTGTGAAGCTCCGAATCGAAAATCTCCTCATTCATGAGCTCATCCACATCTTTCACTTGCTTCAAGAGCGTCTCGCGCTTGGTCTCTTTTCCCTGATTTCATTGATTTTCGTGATAACTGACTAAAATAGGCGACATGTCTGAAAAGCTTGTTGCCTCCTTTTTCTCCAGTTGCTTCAGAAATTGTCCTGTTCTTTTGGTGGCCTGAAGCATACAAAACTCCGAAAGCCACCCTCTCACATCGCTACCGTATTCACTGCCGCATTCGCTGCCTGCTTATTCATTGTTTTGAGGAACTTGAAGAGATCCTGGACCTCTTTTCGCGGAGGTGATTTCTTTTCGCACTTGCCTCAAGGCGGTGTCGAAGAAAAAGTGGTGGTACACTCAAAACATTAGCCATGTGACTTGGATCTTCCAGGGTCTTCATTCTGCTTGGCACCTTCTCCGGGGACAATCATGCCAACAATGCGCAAAACGCACTCAAGCAGGACTTCACTTCTGGCCTTCATGCCACGTTCAGTGTGCTGGACAATGGCACATTTTTGCCAGAACTTGATTGTCTCTTTGAACCTTCAAACGAGTCGAAAGGATGTGCATTGATAGCATTGACTATGTAAAATGGCTATATGCAACTGTCCACTGTCCATTTACTCTGTGGTTCTGGCTCTGGAGTCGAATGAAAATTTGGCGGAATGCACCTGTGGAAGGAATGATTTGTTGGCTGGATGTATGAAAATGCATTTGTATAGATGTTTACATCGTTGACTCCTGAGGAACGGGCCACTCTTCTTGGGTCAGCTCACCCTTTGGCTGCTTCATTTGGACCTTCCAACATACTGCTGCAATCACTGCCGTTTGCCTGTAGGCGCACTCACTCTGAGCCAAGAAAGCCCGGTCCTTGAGTTCTATTAATTTCTTTGCTCTCACATACGTGTCCTCGGCTTCAGAGGTGACTCAGCGCAAATCACGTTCAACCACATCGAGTACAAACATCGCTGCGCAAAACGTGTGTGCACATTAGTGGTGCACCTCGGGCAGCAATGTGGGAGCATTCGGATCCTTCTTCTTGGACTTGGGCTGCCAAGATTCCAGGATGCAATAATGCAAATCGTTGGAATACATATACAGCGAGAGAGAGAGAGAGAGAGTGTGTGTGTGTGTGTCGCGCCCTGAGCAAATGTTTGAAAGCCATCACCGGCTGTGGCACTACCATGCACCCTGTTCGTCCCTTGGGCCTTCCTTTTGATATTGATATTAGAAGTTGCATTGGGTCTGCAAGCTGAGAGACTTGAGGTGGCTGAGAAGTAGTATAACGTAACTTGGGACCCCAGGATAGGTTCTATCACATATCCCGTAGCTATAAATAGCTCCCATGATAGGTTCACGCCCAGGATCGCGCGCCTGGACTTCAATACCCTTTGGGCCCGTTGTGTACAGTGTGTAGTTGTAGAATAAGGTTCTATTGACTATCGCTTCACAAACACGTGCAAACAAACACGGCAAAGTGTAGAAGTTTAGGGAGAGCCGAGCCAAACACAGGCATGCAAGCGGGGACTGAACTGCAATGAGGACCGAAGAAAAACTAAGGAAAGTAAGAAGTGAAGACCAGAGCAGCTGAACATGGCTTCTAACTATTGCCATATTGCAAAATTGATGCAAGCCCGATGTGAAACCAGCACAAAACCGAACTGTCCAGTCTCGCAAAAGACCGCTTGACATCTGGAAGACCCTCTGCAAAATGGCAAAAGACTTTGCTATATTATCTTATACTTTGTATCATGTTATATCTTTGTCCGACTACTTTGCCCCTCGCTTAGTTGTAGCCATAGCCATTGACAGAGGCATTGTCAACATTCTCATGATCTTGGCCTCTACTACACCATGTGCTTTGCAGTCCTTTCCTTTGCCTTTGTTCTGCCTTTGTCATTCACTCCGGTTCCGTAGGACGGCTACTTTCTCATGTCCTGAGGCCCTCTAAAACTAAAACGCTGCTCTTAATATCGGTAATTATACAGCTGTGCATTCTGCCGTGTTACTGTAGCGGCGCGATTGCTCTTTTTCACCAGTGTCATTGCAGTCGAAAGCAACACATGTGTTGCAGCAGTGTTGCTTTGTTGCCTCTTTCCAATGTACAGAGCTCCGCCTCTCATAAGACCACGTCAAATTGCTTTGGTGAATGGCTTGCTTGCTTTACAGTGATCTATTGTGGTGTGCACTTGTCGGATGCCTCCACAATAAGGTCTCTCTGCTGTCCCAACTTCCCTGCGGAATGCTTGAGTGGATAGTGCAGTGCTGCAGCAACAGCCGAAACTGCACAACCAATGTTGCGTGTTTCGGTCACTTGATTGCTGTTATTTCTTCTTTTAAATCTGGATCAAGCTGGCCCACCTTCTCCCTACAAAGAGTCTCTGCGGCTGCATCTCTTTGTCGCCACTGCACTCAGCGGATCTATATAAGCTACTTCGAACGCCACGCAACTCTACCCAATTCCGGCTTCTCTTGCTCTTGTGTTCCTCGCGCTCGGTCACAAGTCCTTTTTATTGAAATGTGTCAACTACATTACATAGGACATAGGCCAGCCCACGGCGTACATGAAGAAGGTGCTCAGACCCGGCTTAGGCCTCTGTGCCCTAACACTGCTTTGCTGGCTGCTTGACTTTGCCAGTGTTGCTGGAAAGGGTGGCTACGCTTCCAGCTTAAAAGAAGGAGTCCTGGGGGCTGGAAGGCTACTTCACTTCCATGCAACACTTTCTGAGTCTACAGTATATATATATACTGTACAAAAGGGCTGTGGCAACTGCGCAATGCGTTGAGCCAAATATCGGTCCTTGCGCAATTGTGAGTAGCAAGTGCACAAACGAGACAGCGCGACCCCCATGCTGCAAGGCCCTGCCAGCATGTAGAAATGAGATAAAATGAAGCAACATGCAACAAGCAAGGGTCACCTGGCTCCTTCCCCAGTCTCTCCGAGGAGAAAGCTTCACCTAGGCGAAGTTTCCCGAAAAAGCTAGGAACCAAATCAGCAAGGCTCGGGCTTCTCCCACGTCCAAACTTAAGTAGTTTCTTCAGCTACTTACTTAGCTTGCTTGTAAGCCTACTAGTGGCCAAACCCCACAAAAATAGCAATAATGATAAAACATACAAAGCCCTGTGATTGGTTGTGCAAAAAAAACATCAAGCGAGCATGAAACATCGAGCTGATGAAACAAACTTTGGGGAAGTGCCGTTAATAGGTTAATATGTTATAAGCGATAAAATTGTTCAAAGAATGGTTTAAAAGAATGTCGGAAGGGGCCTTCTTTGCAATGAGCACGTTGGCACTACGAATTCTTTGAGCAAAAGCCATCAGCAAAGGCACTCTCAATCATCGCTTCACAGGATGAAGAATGAACATGATCAGTGATCAGTCATCGATCCAGCTTTATCAATCATTACTTTACTCTGCGTCAATTTCCTATAGTTTCCTAGTTTCATGTCAAATTACAATAGTTCCCTCCGAAGTCAAAGTCAAACTGTGAGATGGCACGCGGCCAGAGACTTTTCAAGCTGTTGCTATTCTCTGGTCCCACCCTACATAGCCGAGGCTCCTGACAGCGTCGAGAGAAAATCAAGAGCACACAAAAACAGCGCTCACTGAGTCCATGAGCTCTGAGTCCTTTCTTGATGTGACAAGCGCTTTAAATCGTGTTGATGTATTGTGGAAACAAATCATTGTTGTGACTTTCGCCTTTCTGTTCTACTCAAATGGTCCGTCTGACGGCCTGGCACCAGACATGTCGGACTCCTCCAATTCCAATCTTTATCAAACTCTACATTGTACCACAAGTTGCTCCTTTGCCAGAAGTTTTTCCAGCCAAGACAGATCATCACCTTCACCAAGCAATGCGAAATGCAAGTTTGCACAGGTGCCTGGCAATGCAATGCCTGTGGCTCTTTCCAGGTAGAACCTCAGGCATCAAGTCAAGTGCCAGCGGTGCTATTCTGTCTTTCGTGTATATAGCACGCTACTAGCGATGGCCTCCTTTTAACCCTGACGATGACGACACACTGTGACGACACATTCCCGAAGACATGTGTCCCTCCTGACGACACATTCTGTGACGACACATTACTAACCGACCACGCATTCTGACAGCGACACATTTCTTCAACTTCATCCGGTAGTTAGCAGCTCTTCAAAAGCAATTTAAAACTTCTATTTCCGGAGAAGAAAGAGCATGATATAGGAGCCTGCCCAATGAAGAAGTTCCAACCACACATGTTCCAATCAATTTCTAGACTTTGATACGCGCTGGAAAACCCCCTGGACATAATTTGTCTTACGCGCAAAGCTATTCCGCAGTTTGTGTCATTGTTTTCGTTTGTTGGGCTAGAACACTCACTAGAAGAAGGCATGGCAGAACGCACCCTTGTGCAATCGCTACTGGCTCCTTGTGCCACTGCGCAGGGTCCTTAATATAGGTTGTCATGTCAAAAAGTACTTGTAAATACAGTAATACATAAATACAAATACGATAAACAAATTCAAATTCGTGATGTGTACTTATCAATATTTACAAACATAGCTCTATATATAATATATACAGAATTGTGTATATATATAAGTTATATATATGTATAAAATCGCTCGCTACCTCTACCTCCTCTCCTTTTGTTATAACGCTCTTTCCGAAAACAAGCAACCCTTCTTCAATTAAGCCCCTGCTTTCGTTCGACTCTTCTCGGGCGCGAAAGCATGTCTCCTAAGCCCGGAAGCGAGCCAGCGTCTTCTAAGCAATGTTCTCCTTCCGTGACTACTCTTCCCGTGAGCAAGAGAGCGTCTTCTGCGCAAGACTAAGATCTTCGCCAAACCCTGCGAAACTTGGCACACAAAACTCAGGAAGCCACGTGGATCTGAGACCGTCTGGGAGGTCACTTTCATCACTCTCAGGTATCCTGGCTCAATCTGGTTTTCACAGGGTTCATGTTGCTCCTGCCCCCTTTTCCCGAAAGCGTAGCCAAGGGTTCCCGTCTAACTTTGGGAGTTTGAGGGTAAAGCGTTGTTCGCGTGACGTTGGTTTCGTGTTCGCAGCCGTCCGCAGCCGTTCGCCACCATCCGAATGTGGTACGACCCGACGTGCTAACTTACCCCATCGCACATGAACTTGACCCACCCCCATGGCACACCGCTTACCCCGCGAATGTAAGAACTTACCCCATTTGGAAAACACAATGGCACACCGCTTCGAAACAAACACTTTTTCTCCTAGATTGTTTCTAAACCTACACGATTCCACTGCGATTCAATCTTCTACATGTTGATGTTTTCTAAGGTTCTCTGTGGGTTGCCGTGATCCAGTCCCCATGGCACACCGATTCTGACCCACATGTTGGTACCAGCTTTCAGTTTCTACATAGAGCGCAAACAGCATGGAACGTCAAACATATATCTATTCATTCTTGCGTGTTTTCCTCTCCCAATCCCCATGGCACACCGCTTCGGAACAAGCACTTGTTCTCCTAGCCTAGATTGTTTCTAAACCTACACCATTCCATTGCGATTCAATCTTCTACATGTTGATGGGTTCTAAGGTTTCCTATGGGCTGCCATGGTCCAACCCCCATGGCACACCTCTGACCCACATGTTGGCACCACCTTTAAGTTCCTACCCCGAGGGTAACCACCCAGACGCGAAAGTCCTTGCAAAGCAGTTGCGGCAAGCAAATCACACTGTGACACCACACCACGACTAAGTCACGGCAGAGTCCTTGCAGCACTTAATTTCCGCATGGGACACCGCGTCACCAAACAGGCCATCTAATTCAAAACCATGCTTTCCAAGCCCAGTTTACAACACTGCCACAATGATAGGGTTTGTGCAACAACAGCCAGCAGCAAATGAGTAGGCTTTGTAGCGCAGGCAGCGGCAGCGGCAGCAGCAAGCAGCAGCAAGCAGCAGCAAGCAGCCAACCAGCAGCAAAACAACACCAACAACCCAACAGCAGCAGAAGGTAACCAGCAGCATCCCACCAGCCAAACAGCAGCAGCAAGCCGGCAGCAGCAAACCAGCAGCAGCCAAACAGCAGGCAGCACCAAGCCAGCAGCAGCTAACCAGCAGTAGCTAACCAGCAGTAGTAGCCAACCAGCGCCAGCAAACCAGCAGCAACTGGCCGCTGCCAACCACCAGCAGCAAAACAGCACAGCGCAGCAGCAGCAGAAGCAGCAGCAGCACCCAAACCAACAGAGGCTAGAAACCAAATCATCTGTGACGTGGGATTGGTGAAAACGGTGTGCACACCCGCTTCCGATCTCTGCCAGAAGTATGCTAAGACCACGACAAACCCATGGTTAGCTTGCGTTTTGCCTTCTTTGGTGTCTGTGCGCGCGCGCGTTCCTTCCGCATGGCACACCTGCGAAAAATGTGAACATGAACGCTTGAAGACATGAACTCTGCAAATCGCTCCTTGCCTGGAGGGCCCATGTAGATTGAAGAGGCCTTTGCTTACACATATGTGTGGGTCCTGGTGCCTGGCGGGTTGGGCGAGATAGAGGGCGAGATGTGGGCGAGGTATTGGGCGAGATGAACACGTTTGCCCAGAAGACACATGCCCACTAACACCCAAACACAAAAGTCCTTGCAACGCAACGCAGCTGTGGCAACCAGTCATATACTGGGACACCACGCCACGACTAAGTCACGGCAACGTCCTTGCGATACTTGTTTCCGCATGGAGGCACCGCGTTTCACCAAACAGGCCTGCCACCAAGCTTGAAATCATGTTTCCAATACCCAGTCTGCAATGGAAGAAACCTGCTATAATCATAGGGCGTGCAAGACAATGACAGGCAGCAAATGAGTAGGAGCAGCGGCAGCGACAAGCAGCAGCAAGCAGCAAGCAGCAAGCAGCAGCACCAGCAACAACCAAGCAGCAAGCAGCAGCACCGGCAGCAATCAGCCAGCAGCAGCAGCAGCAGCAGCCAACCAGCAGCAAACCAACAGCAGCCAACCGCCAGCAGCAGCAGTAGCCAACCAGCAGCAACAAGGCGGCAGCAGCAGCAGAAAACCAGCAGCAAGCCCGACATATATTGATTGCCATAGATTACCAAACAACAAACACCTCCACCCCTAGACACGCAACTGTGTGGGGACACGCTTCGCAACGACTTCTCAAAAACACTAATCAGACTGCTCCTCGCTCATCCGCTTTGATGGAGATGGGGCCTTCTCGAAAAGGCTTCAACTATGGGTTGACAAAAGAAACCTCTAGAAACAAGCTCAATTTGTTCTTCGGAGGGAGTCTCACACGAAACGCTCGTTTTGCAGACTTAACACGTGAGTTTGGGAGGAAGGAAGAGTGCCCCACAAAATTTCAAAAGTGTCCCACAAGTCCCACAGAGTGTCCCTCACAAGAGTTTGCCACAAGAGCACGCGTCCCACAAGAGAGTGCCGCACAAGAGTGTCCCACAAGAGCGCCCTACAAGAGTGGTCCAAAAGAGTGGCGTCCCACAAGAGAGTGTCGCACGAGGGTGTCCCACAAGAGCTTTCCACGAGAGTGTCCCACGGCAGCTCCCACAAGAGCGTCTTCTACAAGAGTGTCGTCGTACAAAATTTACCGTGTGTGAAGAGAGTGCCCCACCAGACTGTCAGACTGTGCCACAGGAGTGGCCTGCAAGAGTGTCACAAGAGTGTCCCACAAGTGCGTCACACGAGTGTCCCACAAGAGTGTCTCCTACAAGAGTGTCCCACAAGAGTGTCCCACAAGAGTGTCTCGTACAAGAGTGTTAAGCAATGTTTGGCCGTATTGTTTTCGATTACGGGTGTGCATTGGGGTTCGTGATCTTGTCTATCTAGATCCAAAAAAGCATTTCATTGCAAACATTCACTGCGATTCGCTCCTCAGGAAGGATGGAAGCGTAAGATCTTCGGCTCTTGGGATGAAGGTCTCAGAGAAGCCAAACCTCGAGGGATCAAATTCTAACCAAACGAAGAACCTGCTCCCAAAATGCTGCCAACTTGCATGGTGTGCCAAATAGATTCAAAGACCAGGCAGTGCATCCCAGTGCCTTGCCTCCCCACGCTACTTGACAAGGGCCAGTATGCACTTGCAAATGACCCACTTATGTCCTGGTGTTTAAATGCTTTCCTGCTGCTCAATCTTTGTTGATCATAGTCCATGCTTGCCACACCTCACCACAAGCCTCTGCTTCGCTGGCTCTTTCAGTGCCCGGGATGGCATTACAAGTCTGCCAATGGGTAACTCCTCTGTATGCCCATGAATCCTCAAATTTTCACTCTCGATCTGCGTCTCCCTCTTCACGAATGTACCAACTGGCACCTGACATGCTCACAGCCAGCTGGCAGTGGCTCATCCATAGCCTGGGCTCGACTGAAAACCCAGTACTGCAGTTTTATCCGACATGAACCTTGGAGGCAAGAATCGAACCTGTTGCACAGCTTGGCAAAAAGTAAGAGCAATGTGGCTGCTTCTATCGAAGTCGGAAGAACAAATCAAGAAACCTTCAGCGCACGGAACCACAACTCTCCTTGTGCCAGGATCAAATCCTGCACCATTTCACTGTCCCACTACTTTCACACTTGGGTAACCATAATTCTTTCGACGGCAACTACTGCTGAGTGGAACTCCTGCCGGACGAGAAATTGGGCGCCTCAGGTCAGGTTGCTCAACATATCACAGGTTCTCAGATTCACTCCCAAACTCACCACATAACGAAAGCAAGGGTGCAAGTGTAACTTGTAACTATAACTGCGTCCGGCACAACAGTAGCCAGATGCCATCTTCTGTTGATCAACACCCATAACCTTGGCAAAGACCCTTTGCCCCACCTTGACTCCGGTCCTTTGGTGTTCAGTGCTCAGTACCTACATCTCCAACTTTCAAAGTGCTCATGGGAGCAAGGAAAATCTGTCAGTGGCGCAAGAAGCACATTCTGAGTTCTTGCTTTCGATGCCAAGTGGTGCTAATAGCATTGCAATATGGTGGGCCTTGAGTCCTCAAATGAGACGATGTTAGCCCAGTCCATAAAGAAACTAAGTGCCTGTCTTGTTTAAAAATCGCTCGTTTGCATTCCGACGTGGAGGCAACCTAGGTGGACTCACCAATTGTTTTTTGTGGCACTCGCGTGTTTTCATGATGTTTGTATATATTCTAGATATGTTAGCTAGGCTGCAATCAGCTTGCGCAGTGAGACTGCGATGTGCCAGCTAGGTAACCATCCGTGATTGGCCCAAGTGCAGGAAGCTCACATCCAAGGACCGGAGCTGCGATGGCAAGAGCTTTCAGGAAAGCACTGATCAACACAAATCAAAGAATCCCAAGTCACAGAAATGCTCTTGATACTGAATCATTCAAGATCATATCGGCACAAAATACTTCAAAACACCAAATGCCTTGTGTAAAGGGCTTGTCGTGCTTTCCATCCCCAACAAATCTGTTTACCAATGGACTTCAGAGTTGTATCGTCCGCAACACTAGCAAAGTCAAAGGCAGCCTGTATGGATCGCATTACCAAGTGAAGGTAGTATGGCCAAACATGGTTCAAAGCATCCGCCTGCAGGGCAATCTGATGCAACAGAAGTGCCAACACTGGTTTCTAGTTTGGACTTGCACATGCAGCTGCCTGTAGAAAAAGGGTGTAAAGGGCGACATCTCTGGTCATGGCAGCTCGCGACAAATGAGTCAAGTAAGCGCTGCATTCATCTTTCCTGCCACCTGCGTGCATGCTAGAACGATGTCTTTATATAAAGGTAGCACAGAAAGGACGGCAAACAAGAGTCTGCCTGGAGGTCCATCAATAACTTGCCTGGTCTTAAATTGCGCTTGCGCATCCAAAAATGTCCGCTTTCTGTAAAGTTGCATAACACAAAGTGAATTCTTCTTACATCCACTTTGCCTCAAGCAACAGCTTGCAATGAATTACCTGAGTATCTTGCTCGTGGAAGACCTCCAACACAAAGCTCAACTTCTGACTGCAGTGTGTTCGATGCTTGAAAATGGGAGATACAGCACCCCTGTATGTCGGGAGCCTGGATGTGCGCTGGCAATAGTCCTAAGACAGCTGGAGTTCCACACCTCAACAACACTCCGTCATGCAAGTAACTATGCAACTTCTGATACAAATGTTCAAGTGAACAACTTAACCTATTGACAATATTGTTTGGAGCTGATGAATCTGATGACAGCAAGAGGTTTGCCAACACATGCCAACACATGCCAACACAATGACTTCCATTGACAGGTGTTCAACATGGCATCAGTGCACAAGACTCACAAGACTCACAAGCTCTTTGGACATCAAAACCTGCCGTTGAGATGCCGACTTCTCATAGACATACAGCCGAGCAGTCCCTGGGATGCCAAAAGCTGCAGAACTTCGAGTTCACATTCGGAGGATCGCTGTGTACTTGAGCAGCACGCACAAACGTGTCCAACTACGTCCAACTACGAATTTTAGACGGCATCTCACCTGGAGAGACAGTGCAATCATCTGCACTTCTTGTTACTAGTAGTAAGGATGCTCCTAGTAGTACGGCCAGGAGCCCCTAGTAGCGTCCTTGCTCCTAGTAGCGATGCGAGGAGCCCCTAATAGCGTCCTTGTTCCTAGTAGCTCCTTGTTACCAGTGTATAAACCTTGCAGGAAATATCATGAAGATGGATTCGATTGTGCGTGTGCGCGTGTTCACTTCAAAATGCAGCGGACAGGGACGCAAAGGGTAAGCTGGAGCAGGTACAGGTGGTGGGGGGGGGTCATGTCCCGCAATCGCAATACCGGTCTCGCATGTTGCCATGAGGGATGTTGCAGACCTCCCGAGTCCTGACGCGTTCCAAGCAGGAAGGGCACCAGCAGAGAAGCGAACCAGGGAGGATGTCGCGACAGGCCGTCCATAAGGTGGTGTCTCAAAACACCTCGTGTTCCCCGGAAAAGTGCAGCAGTTGCAGAACCTGTATCAGAATGTATTCCTTGATCTACCGGATAGCTGTTTGCTCTTGCTCAAAAGAATTTAGGATCCACCTCAAGATACTGAAGGAGTGGGAAAGTTCTAGGAGTGTTCCTTCTCCGGGAGTTAAAAACGAGCTGAACGCACCTGCCGTGAGCTCGTCAAAAAGTGCCAGCATGTTCAGCCCAATTTCTTTGGTGATCAACTTGTCAACAGGCCTACTGTTTGGTGGTGAGTACGCAGCCAGGACAGTTCTGGCCCCATAACCCGAGCGTGATTCCCAGAGACATTACCGTCAAACATGGCCAGGCACTGGCGTCATGAATGCCATCGACACGAGCAAAGAATTCAGGCTTGGATCCTAGACTGCTTCGTAGGGCTTGGCTTGGTGCCACTGATATGGAACCATACTGAGGACCACTGTAGGCTACTCTGTTCCATGAATGGCGCCAGTTGCAGAGGTGCAAGAGTCGGACTGTGGCGGGCATTGTTGTCAGTAAAAGAGGCAGAGCAAATTAGGAGCGCTAACCTCAGACAACCACACATTGGGTCACAAAGCCCAACATTGCTCCCAATAAGCTCAAGTTTAGAACCACTTTAGAATCACAAGGCTGGAGCTTGTGTCTGCATCTAGCTGCGAAATGCAGTGAAGAATGCTAGACCTCTGCGGTTCCACCTTCCTGTTACAGTTACATTAGCGACGCGAGCAGACTAAAGAACACTACAAAGGCACAAGTATGCTCAATGAAAAAACTTGACCTGCCAACTCCCAGTGTTGGGGCCAGCTGTCCTTCCACCCATCGCGGCAAGGCCACCTGCAGCCATTGCAAGTCCTGGTCATCAAGGATAATAGATTAGATTGTCGCTTTCTTCAATGAACACCTGTCTTTGCAATGCTACAGTGCATGATGAGGATCATGCAAAGGATTCAGCACATTCAACAAACGGGAAACTTACAATGGCTCACAACTCCACTTCTAGAATCTTTGCACCCCAAACCTTCCTCGTTGCAGTATGCCAGGACTATATCGACTAGGCCAGTGGAAGGCACTGACTTGCTTCCAAGCCTCCAAGAAATGATGGAAGTGACGTGTATGCGGATGCATGCGGCGGTACGAGGTCCAGGGACACAATAGCAGGGTTGTGATGTCGCTTGCAAGTCTCCAGAACCACACTGCAGTATGCAGCTAGACATGTAATGAGGTATTCATGAATACCTGTTAGCCTCTGAAGAGATTCATGAGCAGCCCGGAGTCTACCAAGAGCTGCATCGATCGGCCAGGACCTGCAACCGCAAGTGCCGATCCAAACCCACAACGCTCATAAAAAGCTCAAATTACCTGGCGAAGCAGCTAAGAGTGATGCTCACGAATCAAACTTCGCGTCCGTATCTCGAACCTGTGCAAAGTCTGCATCACACCCTGTGCAACCTGTGCATCTTGGAGAAAAGCCCTCTGCTTTGCACTTGTGCTCGCCTCTGCAACAATCCCATTCCAACGTCGTAAAGCTCTGCAGCTACTTGTGGCTCAGTGTACAATTTGGATTCCGCGCCAAGCAAGTAGGCAAGTACCTCACAAAGGGCTCAACTTGCGACAATAGTAGATCTCCCGGGATGAAACTTGGATACGAGCTTTGCTTCTTGATCAATATACGTATTTCATATGTGCAGTTCCAAGTCCAACTAGGAGCATTTTGAACCATCTACGTTATTTTATGTTTAGCAATCGCACTGTTCTTAGAAGTTATTGAGAATGAATCAAGAACAAAGCAGTTAGACTGCTTTGCTTCATGGCAACTACAACTTGCAAAACACAACACACCACAAGGGTAGGTGGGGGTTATATATAGAAAGATACACATTCTGACACTTGCCTCTTATTGTACTTAACCAATAGGGTTGAATACTGTTCCACAAAAAGGCATCCGGCAATAAGAAGGGGCCTTCCATGAAGGAAAGTTACCTTCCATGAAGGAAAGTAGTAGGTAAAAATAGTTGTCAGGAATAAGGGTTTTGTATCACATTAGATGTGCTGACCAAAAAAAAGTGGTGTTGAGGAAAAACAAAAAAATCCAGGAAAAGACTTTGGAAAGGAATAAATTAAGTGTACTCAAATCATCCAATGTCTCTCTTTTTGACCAGTAGAAATTCCAATAGAGGGTGTTTGTTTTCTTAAAGTTGCTTTTTGCACGAGAAAGGAAGGACAACTGTAATGAGTAATGAGGCATTGCTTGGATTCCTTATTCCTGGTGCCTGGCAGTGTATATTAGCAGCACATAGTTCCTGTCTCTCGGTACTTCAATGTGAACATGAGATACAACATTCTACAATCTAATCTAAAGTTGGTATTTTTACATTACCGGATGATACTGCGAGTGAAGTAAATTTGAGGGTTGCAAGTCAGAAAGTCGCAAGTTCAGGTTTATATATTTGTTGCGCTACCTGTCATAGTAGATAAAGGGATAAAAAGGATAGATAATTGAAAACCCAGAGAAAGAGGCCTTAACAAAACATATATAATTATTTATATAATCTTCTTTAAGAGTGAAAACTGATGATAAAATGTATAACAAAAATGTGGCAAACAAGTATATAATATATATATATATAATATATGTATATTCTAAAATAAACCTGAAGGATACAAAAGGCACACAACAGTGTTTGAAACATGCTCAAGGGTGCTGTCGCAATTGCGAATCTAAAACCACACAAAAGGCTGACAATGACTTGGTGTGTAGATCGCACTGCAATGGAATTCAAGATACAAGATTTGCAGGACAATTTTTTTGAACCCAGGCCTAAACCTTCAAGACATATGTTGGTCAGGAGGTTCAAAAATTATTTCCTACAATCTTCCGATTTGAATCTTCTTGGATTCAAGACCTCACTCCTGGAATCTTGAATCGGGATTCAACAATTCTGAATGTACATGCAAAACTAAATCGTGAATGTATCAACCAAAGTGATGGTTTCCAGGCAGCGGCATGATCACTAACTCATCTCACCAGCTGCGGGGCTCAGGGCAAGCCCGTGGAGGGTGGGAGAGGATCTCACACATGCAGCCATAGAAACGTTCGTGAGCAGGGACTCGCGCTGGCACAGCTAAGGTGGAAAAGGGAAGTGAAGTTGCTTCAGGCAGAGCAGCACCATTCGAAGTGATTGAAGCTTGAGTTGACACATTGGTAGCGGAGCTCCTGAACGTCCATCAGGAAGGCCACCATTGGACCATTGACGGTCCGACCTGATTGACGGTAGGCAGCATCCAGGGAGGAGGCTGGAGGAGGTACAGGCCAGAATCATCGGGCTACGTTAGTTCCGTCCTTCAATCAACCAAGGATGACCTACAAGTCTTCCAACAGCGACTGGAGCTTCTGTCGGCAGTTCAATGAACTGACCACGAGGGTCATGCTGAACTCTCAGGGCAGTGCTTTTCAAGAAATTGCAGTTACATGCTCTTGAACTTAACACTGGAGACGACAAGGACCTCAAGCAGATCATATCCTTGTTCATTCTGGCCACTGGGGAAAACCCGTCTTAGAGCGTGCTGATACTATGACTCAGAGCAAGCTTTTGTTTCATTGTCAGTAGCATGCAGACGAAACCAGTGACAGTTACGTCGCAAGGGCAGACATCCTTTGCACAAGTTGATTGCAAGACAGGTCAAGTTGGCAGATCTACAAACCTTCATCCTGCTCAGCGGCCTCGCGAGGAGAAGAAACACGTGATCCCAGATGCAGACAATAGCCTCGAAGGCACTTTGACCGTGACCAAATTTGCTGAAGCCATCAGGATGCTCGGAGCGCATCCATGATGTCCAAGCTCATGCAACACTGCCAGCTTGCCAAGTGACATGCGCCGAGTTGGACAACTGTGATCCGGTGAGTAAGAAACCCATCAAGAAGAGCGTGTCGATACCCACAACATCCCCAACTTTGTTCAGAGTGCTTCATGGCTGGAAGCGCAAAGGTGACCACAATCATAAGGTCCTGCAAGGCCAAACCCGGGTTCATGGGCAAATCACAACTCACGCGCTATTTTCCGAGCGGTATTCTCGGAAGTTCGCTCGATGGATAGCGCTGACAATACAGAAGAGCATGTATCTTAGAGAGTGACCTTTCAAAGTGCCAGAGCCTGCCGAAGTGTTCGTGGTCCACAAGAGACTGGCTGAAGCCGTTCATCCAAAGAGTCGCTCGAGTTCGTCCGTCTTGAGCAAACCTCAAAATGAACAAGCGATGTATAGAAGATCATAGGGAATGCTCGGAAACAAATTCGGCTGATTCGAGTGGAGGCCAAACGATCATGTCTAGTAATGCCTTGGAATCCAAAGTGAAACGAAGGAAACTCATGGGAAAACAACCCGAAGAGACCGAAACTTCGATGATCACAGACAAATTTCATAAAGTCCTCAGAGCCGCTGACCAAGCACTACCCCATGTTGGTGCACGAGAACTGAATCATACCATCCAAACAATGTTGCAATCGATGTTTCCTGAAAAGGAGATTTGCTTTGTCTATGGATGCAGGGGAACTGATCGAACTATGATTCCGACCAAAGAAATACATGAGGAAGAGACACCTTTTTGTAGAAGTGTGATGTTGCTCCGATCCAAAAAAACAAGCCCAATAAGAAACGTGGTTTGTGCTGGCGGCACGCAAACAAGTCCGTGTGAGCCACCCGTGTCGCATCAACATCACCACGTTTGGTGCTGAGTGGGATCAGACCGAACCTGATCGCCCGGCTGCTCAGTCCGCTACCACAGACCAAAAAGGTCCAGACGCGGAGTCGACATATCAGAGAGGCCTGAGTCCTCCCAATCTATTCCAATGACCAACCAGTCAGAAGGGAAACCCATCTGAAGCCTCAAGTCCAAACAAGAGCATCAAAACTTGGGACCAGCAGAAGGTTAAGTCAGGCATTGAAGAATCAAGGTCATCGCGTCGCAATTGTCCTTTGGATTTCATGTCAACGATAGACTGTACGGTGACGGAATGGACTGGTCAAACAAAGGGGGACAAAGCTTTCACATGTATCATACACGATGGATGCCGGAGCCGACAGAACGAGTCGAAAGGTGATATCCCTCCAGCAACACTTGTTGAACTGGGCAGGTCCACCAGGAGAACTTGTGGTTTCAGAGCTCAACCCCAAAGAGTTCAGCCAGTCTCAGCATACAACATCGGGGTCGTCACAGTCAATGTAGGCAACAACGAGATCCCCGAAACTTCAGAGGTCCATGTTCCAGAATCCCTCAACTAAAACTCAATCAGACCAAGAACCTGAAGGCGCACCCAGCACCCCAAAGAATAATGAATCCCAAGATGAAGCCACACCGGAGACCGGAGACCGTCTTTGAGGATGGATCAGGTGAGCCTGCCATGTTCACCTGTCTCGAACTCTGCTTGGAGGACCGAGATTGATGTGACATTGAACCAGCCATTGAGTCAACACATGCTCACCAGCCATCAGAAAGTGAATCCTGGAAGCATCGAACCGAAGTGAAACTCTCGTCCTTAACAGAAGCAGAAAAAGAACAATGTCGAATCGCCAAAACTGCAGAAGATAACAACTGGATAAGGACAGATACAATTTCCATAATCTTGAGGGATCAGCTCCCAGCAGAGAAAATGTTTAAATGTCATTGGATCCTAACATGGAAGCCAATCAAGGCTCGAGGGGTGCCCTGATCCAAATCTAGAAAACATCCCGCGTGACTCTCCCACGTTATCAAGAGCTGGTAAGATGCTAGCATGACAACGCATTTCAAACCAGCAATGGGTTCTCAATACTTCGATGTGAAGGCCGCCTTTTTGCAAGGAAATTTTGATGCTGGAGAACACTGGCTATTGGACCGGTTCCAGAGCTGGCCCAACCCATGAAGGTTCAAGAGGTATGTCGGCTAGAGAAGAGCGCTTATGGACTCATAGACGCCCCATATCAGTGGTACACCGCTCTTCACTCAAGAGGTTGCACTTCGAGCCATCGCCCTTTGATCCCTGCTTTTACATCCTACCGAACCCCCTGGTCAGAAAGATGCAGGATTTCCTGGCGAGAGCACAAATATGCTTTCGGATAAGTCCACCAGTACCAAAATCACTGCATCACGCTGTCGCAGAGCAAACATATGTGTGTAAGATACCAGCCATCAAGATTCTAGTGGAACGTAAGAACCAAACGGAGGCATCCATCACAAAGCAAGAAAAACAACTTCTTCGAGGCCTAATTGGTTTCTTACAGTATGCATGTGTCAAAACTCTACCAGACCTGGCACGTAAGGCTCAAGCTGAATCATCTTCAACCACAAATCAACACCGGAACCATTGAAACATTGCTGTTTCCAAGTCGTGTACTGCGTGAAGTGAAGCAAAACGACACCACGATGTTTCTCAGATCAGATGCATCTGCCTCCAAGCACCGTCCAGACTCTGCCGCAGGCATGGTATAGGAGCCTATAATAAGCTTTAGCTCGGGGGAAGGGCGGGGCCCTTTCATTTTTGGGAAGTTGTGTTTTTGATTGCCCTTTGATGCTTTTTGGAGATGGAAATCACTGCTGCGGCTTCGGAAGTAAACATTCACGATGCTGGCTATGCAGCCCAGGGGACACTGCATTATTGACATCGTGGGTGTGTTTGCCCTTGTCCTGCCCGAAAGAAATAGACAGACTGACAGACCGATACAGACATACCGAGACAGACTGAGACAGACAGACCGAGACAGACACAGCGAGACAGACCGGCTCCGACAGCACAAGTTGCTGCTTCCCACACCAGTAACCAACCCGTATCCTCGTGGGGTGCTACTGACACATTATCCATTTATATAATCTGCGAAGCAGTGTGAACAAGAGCGCCCAGAAGTCCAATAGCTTGGGGAAGTAAGAAGATACAGCACGCTTGCAGCGGCTCAAACGACTGTCATCAACCTTGGACCAAATGTCCTGGCTTCGCCAATTCAAACGTAAACTGGAAGCAAGCTGAGAAGAGCTTGCCCCAACTGGCGAAGGCATCTCAGTGCCAACATTCAAGCCAGATGACGATACAGCTATCACGGACTGTAAGTTAGTCCTCATTTGATCTCACAACACGAGCTGCCCACTGAACTGCTCTGAGTTCCATGTGCAATGACAAGCGCGGGCCATCAAGGAATTGTTGTCAAAAGGAGTTAGCTTGAGATGGGTACAACATAAGAATTTTTGGGAATGTGAATGTACGAGTATCAACCAAAGTGATGGCTTCCGGCATGATCACTAACTCACCCCACCAGCTGCGGGGCTCAGGGCAGCCTGTGGGGCGTGAGAGGATCTAACACTTGCAGCCATAGAAGACGTTCATGAGCAGGGACTCACGCTGCAGGTGGAAAAGAGAAGTGAAGCTGCTTCAGGGAGAGCGGCAGCAGCAGCAGCAGCAGCAGCAGTTGAAGGGATTGAAGCTTGAGTTGAGGCGCTATCGAATTTACATTTAAAAAAACGTATATCTACATTCATATACAAACCGTAAGACAATCAGATCCTGCCCTCAAATCCAACAACGTGTAAAATGTTCAGAAAGCTGCGCAAATACCCTTAAAAGCCAACTCAAGGTGGGTAGATGTAGGGGGGCCACATTGCATACCCCATTCAATGCGCGCTGTCAAGATGCAACCATCGCTGGGCATTCTTTGAGCACAGCTTCCTACACATAAATGCACCCATCACACCCTCATAGTTCACAAACCGCCTACTTTTTTGCTAAATTGAATGTTGTCTGTCCTGGAAATGCTCTGGAAGAGCGAGGATCCAGTATGCCTTTAAGTCGCGCAAATCTTTCGAAGAATTCTGAGACAAGCGCGCTTAACACCTCCAAAAGAGGTGGAGGCAATCCCGAATCCTCATAAAAACCAGCTGCCTGGCGCTCAAGGACAGTCAGTTTATCCTTCTGATCAGTGTTGCAGCTTCAATCGGCCTTTCGCTGGAAGTCTGATGCGCGGATGGTATGATGGTCTCATTGTTTCAGCACGGCAAATCCACAGCAATGGCGCATCAAGGCAACTCCATGCAAATGAAGACTGTTCCCCACTCTTTCACAAGCATTGCTGTGGTGCAAAAGCTAGTTGCGGCCCATTGCCTCTTGCAGGGTTCAGATTCCAATTTCTAGGAACCCAGCTGGAGCCAGGCATGTCGAGCTTCAGGACATAGGCAAAGAAGCAGGCGCTGACCTCTCAATCTGGTTCATAGGGAGGGACAACATTGGAGCAAACGTGATATCAAGGAAAACAAACAAACTACATGCAAAAAACGTTCATTTGCAAGCATGTGTTGCTCAAGGTGAACCAAGGATCCATACTGACCAAGGCCAAGCGAGTTGCAAATGTTGTTTTTTTGAGATATACGGGTTAATGAGAACGTCCTGAACGGCCTTTCACTGAGTCTGGGAAGGCGGCGACTTCGGCCCCATCTGGAGCTTGTCGCACAGATCGGCAACGCAAGGCCTAGCAGGAAAACCAATAGGTTAGAGGTAATCGCTTCAAGGTTGGAGGTGGCTACTAGGGTGGAGGCCATCGCTCTTAGGTTCCTTTGACTAAGGTTGGAGGCCATTGCTACTATATAATTACTCTAAAAAACCTACAGAACGCATTTTCCGCTATGCATGGATTGACTGGGGAGGTTTTCCTATGGTTTCGGGACATGAGTGGACATACTCTGGGTCGAAACTCGTGTACCGAACTGGTCAGCCCAGAACTATTATACGCAAACGTTGACCTTGTGCCATATCCTGCCCCGGGCCACCGAGGAGGGTGCTTCAGCGCAGTCCCTGACTAAGGAGAAGGGCAAAAAATGATAAAAGGATCCGAAGCCAATAGAATCAATAGACTTGCGGCTCCAGGGGTTCTCTTTTACCTGCCCAAGCTGACGGCGCACTGACCTTTTTTGTTGTTAATGTTGCGCGCGAACGCGATTCCTGACTGGGGAAACTGGGCGACGGTTGGCCCGAGAGCAAGAAAGGTGATTGTCAAGCAATTCCGAGTAAGGAAATAGTTAAAATCGAGTTGTCCAAGGGCCATGACTTCTTTATACAATCTGTTATTGAGTAAGACGTTGCGAAGAAGTTAGATTTAAAATCTTAAGAGAAAAGATATGTAGAAAGAGAGAAAGAGAAGGCGGCTGTGAAGGAGTGACAGTGTGGATGCGCAGGTGTGATATAGATGTGGAGATGCGTGGGTGTGTGGAGGTAGAGAGGTAGATCACGGTAGATCTGCTGACGTGAGCCTGCCACACGGTCTGCCCACACACTAGAAGCAATTCTATCGATACCGCCAGTCATCCCGCTCACCAGCGACACGCCGGCATGTTTCGCGCTCCCCAGTGGCACGCCGCCACGCAAACGCACTAAGGCCGCGCAAATCCGCATGGCGCTGCGACATCACGAATGCAATTTCGCCACACGGTCTGCCGACACACTACAAGCGATCATATCAGACGATACCGCCAATCATCCCGCTCACCAGCGACACACCGAGTTTACACCAGCATGTTTCGCGCTCCCCAGTGGCACGGCGCCACGTAAACGCACTTCCCACTAAGACCATGCGCGCAAGTCCGCATGGCACTGCGACATCACGGACGTAACTCGCCACACGGTCTGCCCACACACTAGAAGCAATCCACACGATACCGCCAATCATCCCGCTCACCAGCGACGCGACACCCCGCGTTTACGCCAGCATGTTTCGCGCTCCCCAGTGGCACGGCGCCACGCAAACGTACTTCCACCAAGGCCGCGCAAATCCGCATGGCACTGTGACATCACGGACGTAATTCCCCACACGGTCTGCCCACACACTAGAAGCAATCCTATCACACGATACCGCCAATCATCCCGCTCACCAGCGGCACGCCGCGGTTACGCCAGCATGTTTCGCGCTCCCCAGTGGCACGGCGCCCCGCAAACGCACTTTCCACCACTGGGTGGCTGTTAAGGGGGATTTTTTTTCCCCCAGCTTCTCGGCTAAAGCCTGCCAGTTTTTCAACTCAACTTCTCAGCCTGAGCCCTGCCAGCTTTTCAATTCAACCTGTGATTGCCCAGCTTCTCAACCTGAGCCCTGCCAGTTTTTCAACTCAATCTGTTGATTGACCAGTGATCCCCCAGCTTCTCAACCTGAGCCCTCCCGGCTTTTCAATTTGACCATTAAGTCCCCAGCTTCTCAACCTGAGCCCTTCCAGCTTTTCAACTCAACCCGTGGTTGACCAGTGATCCCCCAGCTTCTCAATCTGAGCCCTCCCGGCTTTTCACTTTGACCATTAAGTCCCCAGCTTCTCAACCTGAGCCCTCCCAGCTTTTCAACTCAACCCGTGGTTGACCAGTGATTCCCCCCAGCTTCTCAACCTGAGCCCCGCCAGCTGTTCAACTCAAGCTGTGATTGATCATTGAGCCTCAACAAATCCCCCAAGATTCTTAACTCAACCTGATTGAGTCCTCCCAGCTTTTCAACCCAGCTTGTGACTGATCTTAGCCCCCATAAGATTCTCAACTCGGTCCGGAAAAGTCCGGAAATTGAAGACACATGAGCCGCTCCAAATTTTCACAAGAAGCTGAAACGCTTAATAATCCCCATGCAATTTTCAAGACTTGACATTTCACTGGTCTTAGTCTAGCTAGTCTGAAAAGTCCAGGCATTTAAATTAACTAAGTTAGTTGACAAAATTATGACAAGTATTGTTTGTTTTTGGGGAGCAAGGCCAATGCCACAAAACGAAAAAACAAGTCAGAAACTCAGCGGATTTACGCCAAACATAATTACACAAAACATTTGTAACAGGAAACATCAATGACAATGATCCTATAACAACGACAAGCGGTATCAATTCACTGTCAATGACATGATGACTGACATGTTTATGCAATTTCACCAAAACTCAATGCCGATGTTTTACTGCGCTCCACAGATCCAGCGACGACAAACACTATGGTTTGTTATTCCAGCCAGGCTTTTCAGCTTGGTACTCCAGTCACTCGTCATTGTCATGTATGTGTGAGGTCACCTGGTGACTTGTGAGCGCCGTTTCAAAAGCTAAGCCGAGCCTACTAAGCAAAGGGCACTTCCGGCAACAATTCCAAGTAACAGTCAGTGGTTTGTATTTTAATTTAAGGCAGTGAACACAGTAATACTCAGGGTAATGAACACAGGGCAGTGAAACTGGTTTGAAATACTGGGTAGTGAACACAGTAGTAGTGAAGGAGAGTGAACTGTTGAACAATGAAAGACGCTGCCGAGTGCCCTTTGAAATTACCGGCCTAAGGCGGCGCCGGCAAAGCCAAAAATGAGAATCTGCCACTGACTGCTTCGACATCTTCGAAGCTGGTGATTCTCTCTTGTAAATGGCACAAGTGTGACCATTTGTGAAAAGCCACGCATAGGCGGCGGCAATTTTCAAGCCATTCAACTACATCCGGGTCGTGGCAATCTGGATTATTGCTCAATGCAACATACGCCATGAAGCCTTCCATTCTGCCTCCAAGGGTTTCGTCGTTGGTCATCAGGGCCTCAGATGACGAGAGCAAGGGAAGCTGCAGAAACTATCCATTTGTGGGAAGTCCGGGAAGTCCCAAACACAAGAACACATAACAATGACATAATAAAAAGTCAGTTTACTTTTATTACTAAAGTCGAAACAGGTGACAATGACATGACAATGACGACAAATCAACAAATGTGGATGACAATGACTCAACAATGATCAACGCAACCATGGTTCCATATCAACATAGGCTGGCAACGCTAGCCTTGGATTTGCTTCACCAGGAACAGTAAAAAAAGTCCTCAAGTCAAACGGAATTCACTCACTGGAGGGGGAAAATAAAAAAATCACCGTAAGCAAATCCATGCAACCTTAGGACGTTGGCGAAGTTGCTATTGCCCAGCTCTGGGGTACGTAGTACCCGCAACACAGTGCGATTTGCATGGTATATGCCATGCCAATCACCACCGTCAAAGTGGAAGTGCTGGTACGCAATGATTTCCATCCTGCTTTGCATTGGGGACATGGCCATCAGCAACTCAAAAATTTCGTCGGAGAGCTCGAGGATTTGCTGGGCCTTTTGCTCGCGAGCGATTCTCCTGAGCTGTTCTGCGCGGCTGGACATGGTCACGACAATGACACCCGACGGAAGAATTTGGGCCTGACAAAATGACTGCAGCCATTAAACCATGACAATGACGATACCCCACGGACATTTTTGAACCAACACCAAAGTGCTCTCTGACACGAATAACACGCAAACTTACAATGACAATGAACTGCAACAGCTGGTTCCTTGATTCCTTGAAACATCAATTTCAACTACAATGCAAATGACTGCAAGAGCTGACTCATCATTTTTATTCAACTGCGAAACTGTCCAGTGCCGGCTGCCAAAGCGGGGACATACAACCACCAAATGCAGTACAATGAACTGATACCATTGTTTTAAAAATGAAAATGTGAAACTTGTCATTGTCATTATAGTAGGTTTTTTACTTGTGCGTTTTTGATGTGTTCTGTCTTGGTTTGCTCCATACTGTTATAGACAATGGTTTTCTTTTTGTTAAAGCCAAACTTTGTTTGTCTTTTTAATGGGGCAAATCTAAGTTTGAATGTGGGTCAAAACTGCGATTGATCGGGACTTGGTGTTGACATTGTAAATGTATGACAATGACAGACCCCCGGTGGCCCGGCGTTAATAATGTAACTGCACCAGTATGACATTTTGTAATATGACTTGAGTTTCCGCAAACGTTTGTTTTGATTAACTGAACTGTTGATTGACAAAGACAGGGTTCATTCATGAATAGAAGGGCTCGTTGAGAAAGGCTGGATGACTGACACCAATATGATCTCTTTCAGTGACTGGCACCAGAATCACAAACCCACAGATCACGCTGCTCACATGACAAGAGTTGATTCTTTGATTCCTTCAAAACAAACTACAGTGTCAATCACTGCAAGAGCTGACGCATCATCACAGTTGCGGACTCAAGTCGGCTGCTGGCAGGCCTCGGCCAAAGCGGGGACAACCAAATGTACTACACAATTGTTAATGAGAATGACAATCATTACATGAACGGATGCAACTCAATCACAAATGGCAATGATATTGACATCATCAGCGTCGTGCCTTTTTTGTCTGCCCGGCGCAGGTTGGTTGACAGTCTCAAGCCGTCAAGTTATGACAAAATCTGGGTAGCTGACAACGAACTTCTCCTTTGATAGATTTGACGCTCCCGCCGTGTCTCTTCAGACACTGGAATGGGAGACCTGCTTCTGTGAGATCGGTCACCCCCAGTCTCGCGTTGGTTTGCCAAGCGTTCTACGGTTTTGCTCACTTTCTCCACCTGCTTGATCATCACATTCAACTCTGACTTCAATTCGTGAAGTAATGCCAACGTCTCAATCAGCAAATCCATGCTCGACTCAACCATGACGCGCTGCGCATCGAAAGCTCCGGGCGCCC